TTTTGTCACTTATTGTAATTCTGTCACTGTATAAAAATCGCATCTCGTGCAAAAAACGAAATCTGAGGGAAAAAACTGAGCGTTTGACTAGAATTTACCGAAATCTGTTAGAAATAGAGATAATTGACCCAGATGAATGCCAGCGTATTCAATTTCTGTTCAATGGATAGCAGCAGATTTAGAGAGAATATTTAATAATGCAGCGGGTGTAAAACTTGTGGAACAGCCATTTCATCAAAGTCGAATGCTTTTGTTGGAAGTAAGTCTTTTTCCGTTTCTGAACTAAAGCTAGATGCGAGCATATGTAAGAAACACTGAATGCAAGTCAAGAATAAGCAAGGGCCTGTTGATATCCCATTCTGATCACTAAGTTTAAAACACTACATTTAGATTTAAAATAGTCATTTCCAGTTGACTCAGTGATTCCCCCCCCCCACAAATCGCCCAGAAAATACTGTGGAGGAATAAAAAGTAGTAGTTACAGTCTTGACACACCTCATACTACAAACCACATATAGTTAATCCCATCACTACTCCTTTGGGAGTCAACCAAAGCTACCACATTCGAGTGGCGGGACGAGCTACGCAGAAGTTTACTGAAGATCAGGAACCTATGCATCACAATCAAGAGGCGAGCACAAAGAAATCAAATTGGTTTACGTCATCTCGTGAGAACGATTTGGATATTGGAACATAACATTGATTTGCAGTGCTGGTCATCAGCACTTTCAGGGGAAATGATGGTTATGATTTCATCAGGAAGACGTATGGACAAATAAAAAATACCCATTTGAAAAGATCTGATATAATTTCAGGATCATTTCACGAAGTCCTTATACAAAATGAAGACTTAGCACCTAAGAACCTAAGTCCACGGTTAGTAGATCAAACTGCGTAATCCTCTTTAATGTACCAGACTGTAGTAGTAGTCTGCTGGAAAATAGGGCCCTGTTTGATCAGGAACAGTGGTCCAACTTGTGTAGCACACTGGGTCTGGACATCCAACCAGTAAAACTATGCAGATTGTATAGGAGCACTGCTGCTCCTCAAGGCAAACCATCCCCACTGAGGGTAACACTTGGCTCTACCGAGGATGTCGAAAAAGTTTTACCGACTTCTCAAGTCCTTTCTATAGGGAGGGCCTGCAATATACATGTTAGGCCAGACAGGCCATGGAAGGAAAATCAGATGGGAGGGAGTCGCCAGAGCTTATTCCTTATGCCTCCATGGTTGTTCACGGCATTCCCGAACTGGTAACTGGGAACGCTTGCGAGAAGCACTGTCACGATGTACAGCAATGGAGATGGTTGGCATCCCAGATGGCTCTGGGAAGTTCAGGTGCTGTTTCTATTTATAGACTGCCTCGACCCACTCACCTTATGTCAATTAACACGCCACGTCTGTTAGCTGTCAAGTTCAGCTCCAGAGACTAGTTGACTACTGCTCTCCAGAGGTGGTACGAGACCAAGGACAAGGTCAGCAGACACATTCGCTGCTGCGAGAGCCGGCCTAGTATCCAAAGGAGAGAACAAAGCGTTGTCAAAGAAAATCCCCAACCCTTAGTCACAATACAGAGGTGCAGCACGGACGATGATAGCCAGTGTCATCCAAGTGCTCCGATTGAACTAGAAGAAAAAACGCCAACAGGCCGGTTCCCGGGAAATCGGCCAACTAGTTCGTAGGATAACTCCTCAACCAACAGCCCACATCAAGTCAACCACCCCCCAATACGGGGATGTGGTGAGACTGACTACCAGTTGCCTGTACAGTAATGTGAGAGGGCTAAGAGGCAAGATAGCTGAACTTAGACCCCTACAATCACAGCTAAATTCCAAAATCATAATACTGACGGAAACCTGGCTAACCCCTACGGTGGCAGACAGCGAAGTCAGTATAAATGATATGGTCCTAGTCAGGTGAGATAGGGACCTGAAAGAAGGAGGTGAAGTCGCCATATACGTCGACAAACAGCTCAGATGTGTTCACGCAATGGACCCTCCCTTCATTGAGCTCCCTGACTCCATATGGTGCCATTTCACCGTTGGGTACTGTAAATATCTAGTGGGCAGCATTTATCGATCACCTTCACGTAGAGCAGACCACAACCAGGTACTGCTAAATACAATTTCAGCGACACAAGACATGGGTTATGATCAAATTGTCATAGCTGGCGACTCAATGCCCAATCTCTTAACTTGATGACGGGATATGCCCATGATAGATTTGATCAAAATCTGCTGCATACCATCAGGGAGGCTGGATTCACTGAAAATGTCAGAATGGATACCAGATGGGTCCCACACGGGGAGTCTTCTAGACTGGATTATGTGCTCACTAGCGACCAGCTACTAGTGGAAAACGTTCAGATCACGACTTCCAAAGGTAGTAGTGACCACGCGGTCATAGTATTCAACATAGTCCTCCGCGAGCGTTTACAGTGGGACAATACACAGCCCTATCTGTGTTATAACAAAGCCAATTACCCTGTAATGCAAAGACTTTTGTCTGAAGCAAATTGGCCTAAAAGACGGACAGAGTTAACAGTAGAACACTGGGGAGTGGTAAAGATCATTCAGCAGGCGGTCTCAGACACTGTTCCTTTAGTCACACCAAAAGCTGGAAAGCAACGTTCATGGCTGAAAAGGGGGACACAACGCCTTCTGCAGGCGAAGCGAAAAGCCTGGTTTGCGTGGCTACTATCGAAGAGTCAACCCGAACATGGAGTGTACCTTGAACTCAGGAATCGATGTAACATACGAGTCAGGATTGATAGAAGAACATTTCAGAGAAACCTCGCCAATAAGCTTCTCGTGAACCCCAAAAGCCTATGCAGGTTTATATCTGAAAGAAAACCGACCAGCCAGGGAGCTTGCAATCTAGTGGGTTCTGATGGGAAATCTCTTACTAGTCTTGAAATGGCAGAGACATTCAGTCTAGCCTTTCACAGGCAACTAAACAGTAACGAGGATTTTACCCCCACAAAACATCAAGATTTCAATGCAAAACCAACGTGCGAAAACCTGATGGTTACATTTCAAATTACCCCGGCTATGGTACTCGTAAAAGATCGGTAAAGTTGACTTCGGGAAAGTCTGCAGGTTGCGATGACATAAGACCATCCGTCCTGAAGCAGTGTTCAGAAAGTCTCTGCCAACCCCTAAGTGATCTGTTTCAACACTCCTTTGATGTAGGGAAACTTCCATGTGAATGGATGGTGGTGACCGGCAGAATGCGACCAGTTACAGACCAGTTGCGCTACTTCCAGTGATATCGAAGATATTGGAAAGTCTCATTGACGACCACATGAGAAAATACTTCGACGGGACTAACCTACTCCATGAAGCACAGCACGGTTTCAGGAGGGGAAGATCCTGTGTGACGAATCTTCTACTAGCTTGGAACGATTGGACACTATCCTGGGATGTAAAGGTACCAGTCCGTGTGATCTTTCTCGACTTTGCGAAAGCATTCGACACAGTTCACCATGGTCTGCTCCTTCACAAAATAAGCAAAGCGGGTGTTTCTGGAGCACTTCTCGCATGGCTGGAAGATTATTTAGGCGAGAGAGAATTCTGCACCAAAGTCAACCGCATCCGATCATCCTGGCACACCTCGGCATCAGGGGTTCCTCAGGGTTCTATCTTGGGGCCGTTGATGTTTTTGATTTTCATCAACGACCTGCCCTGTCAACTGAACTGCTCTGCGCTTCTTTACGCTGACGACGTAAAGATTTGGAGAGCAGTAAACTCATCGGAAGACTCCGACAGATTTCAGGCTGACCTGCAAACTCTGGGAGAGTGGGCTCTGGCTAACGGAATGCCTTTTAACCTAAAGAAGTGCAAAGTAGTGCAACTTCATTCCGGCAGATCACAGAGTGCAAATTACACCCTTGGTGGCCAGAACTTGAGTTGTGTGCCATCAGAACGCGACCTAGGTCTTATTTTAAAAGAAAAGCTAGACACCAGTGTAAATTACACGAGGGACGTCGCCAAAGCTTACGCAACTTTACACTTTATGCATAGGCAGCTGGGAGCTCTTACTCCCGAACTATTCTTAAGGTTGTATACGACATTCGTGAGGCCACTCCTTGAGGTGCATAATATCATTGCTCCTACGCCACTCAAAAGGGATGCTAACATTCTAGAAAGTGTCCAGAGACGAGCGACAAAATGGGTGATCGGCCTCCGCAACAAATCATATGAGGAAAGACTGAAGAAATTAAGTCTTTTCACACTTAGTTACCGTAGTCACAGGGGAGACCTCATCACCGTCTATAAGATCTTAAATGACCAGGCCCACCCTAATAAAAGCATCCTGCCATTAAGTGATTATAGACTTCCACGAGGTAACCCGCTAAGGATAGCACACCAGAGACCAAAGACTTGAGTGCGTTCACATTTCTTTTCGCTTCGAGTTTGCCGTCTCTGGAACGCTTTACCGGCGGCCGTGACTACAGCGCCATCTGTGGAGACTTTTAAGCGGAAGCTGGACAATCATGCAGAAATGCAAGGTTTGTGTCTCAATGGCTTATCCTCTTAAAATTTAAAACCACACTGTCAGTGGATAAGCATACAAACTAAATTCCCATGACTCGTTCTGCCTTCTCTCACTGTACCGACTACTCTATCTTTTCCTTAGGTAACCTTTATTATTTTACTTATCTCAACCTATATTATCTACACTACAACCTATTATTATTACTATTCTACCTTTATGACTACACCGAATGAATGGAGTTAGGTCAAACTCCATTCACGGCAGCAACACAGTCCTAACATACTGCATACTACAAACCACATTTTGACCAATCCTCGCACCACTCCTCTTGCAGTCTACCAGAGCTATAGCAGTCGAGTGGCGGGATTTACTATGCATAAGTTCACCGAAGATCTGGAACCTCTACCTTACAATCAAGAAGCGAGCTCAAAGAAATCACTGGTTTATACTAGCTCGTAATCAGGATATTGTATATTGAACGTTTTAATGCTTCACTTTCAATGCCGTAACCTTGATAAAAGCATTGAAAGACTCGACTCTATGGAGGTCAGGAGGAGAAATGTGGGGTTGTTAAATGAGAGGATAAAACCTGCAATCTCTCAACGGATACATGAATTAGATATTTTCCCAAAGCTGCCTGCAGAATGTAAAAAGTCCACATGGGCTGGTGGTCTAGGTATTCGTGCAAATATGAAAGTCCTAATTCAATTCAGTTTCGATTCTGACATTCTGCTGCATATTTTGGCTGCTTCTAATGGAAACTTGGCGTTTTATTGATCCTCCTGTGAGATATTCCTATGAAGTAGACAAACAAATCTCTGGGTAAGGTTTATCTCATTTCCGAGCCGTTTCTAGGAAAGTTAAGGTTAATATTGACATTGTTGTTGCTTCTTTGTGTGATGGTAAGCTTCATTCAAAAACATATTTCTTTAGCTATTTCTATGGACGTGGTGGATACTGTTGGATCGTCACTAGTCGATGAAGAAGAAATTCAGTATATACCAGTTTCTTTCGAATTGAATCCCTCCGATGAAGTTATATTCAGGGTATGTACTTGTTTCTCTAAACCCTAAGTCGTTTGGCTAGCTTTTCTAATTTTCAACCCATTCTGGGGCGTAGAAATGTTACTTTTTTCTACCTTCAAATAGTCGTATTCCAACGTCTGAATTATTCGACAAGACACTAAAGAGCTTAAGTGCAGACTCCTTCATTTCTAGAGGGTCAGATACACAGAATTCTAACTGAAAGACCTGAAAGAATAGGTTTCGCCGTTATGCACTATTTTCCTTGTTTTAAACAGTACTAATAGAAAGCCAACTCCAGATCTGATCCCAGTGCCTCTTCACCCTTTATAATATAGAAGTACTCTTGTGAGGGGATGAGAGCACATTGTTTGGTAGTTTCAAGATCGCATAAGCACCCCTCATAGATGTACACCTTCCCAGTTTCATGCACTTAAATGTTCAAACAACAATTTGGGCTATATTGTGTATTAAATAAACCAGCTTCATGCATGCTTTCTTTTTGGCTGAACTTGTTATGAATAATATTCTGACTGCCATAGCCAGCTGGCTTGAGAGATGGAAAAAGTTGATTAATAATGGCTCATGCACTCTCAGTTGATTATTCACATTAATTACATTTTGAAATAAAAGCTCTCACTATCTATAATTCTCTGTTTCTAAGTATGAATTGTGTCAGTCCTCTCATTATGATTATTTAGCGGATCCTGCATCATGAAGTTCGAATAATGATTCACGTTGAAACCTGAGTAAGAAATCAGAGTGCAGATAGTGATAAGTTGGATCTTTTTTTGTAAACCCCGACGTAGAAAAGAATTTTCAACATCAGAAACTAAGAGCAGTAGTGGGAGCTGGGAATTGAGCCAGTGTGAAGACCGACAACGAACAGGTAAACGTAACTCACTTTACTTCAGTGTACTGCAAACTAAACACTCCATTCCCCAATAATGTTCGGGAGTTTCGAGGACATAATATTAGTGTAGATGTGATCTCGGGCTCGTATCCCTGAAGTTCAATATTTTTCAGCCTATATGCAACGTCTGTCTCTAATATCATCCAGTAAAACAGTTCCTTCCACAAATGCCCTTCAGTTGTTGCCCATTAGTTCAGTTTAATTTTTTTCATACCACTAAAATGCGAGAGTAATAACTTCATTCTGATTGTGTTAATACTAGTAGCACTTCTTTTATATCAAGAGTCGTCTGAAAGCTTCTTTAGTTATCTAACACGTATAGAAATGAAAGGATTTATTTCATGTTATGTGCATGCAGAATCGACAACTTCTTGCTGGAAGTCTGCGTTCAAAACATCATGCTATCCAAGACCGGTTGTGGAAATACAGTTTCAAAACAAATCCCTTCAAAGACTTGGACCTTGACACGATAAACAAGAAGGTTCCTGATGGTCAGAATCCTGATGCCTGTCGAATCATTGGTACTGTATACGTTAAAAAGGTTGAAGGAAATATCCATATATTGCTTGGAAAGTAAGTAACTCCTTGTAATACTTTAGAATTAATAATAATAATTTATATTTTCATATAAACATAAATTTACATGAAAATGCATGCCATTTTTACAGGCACGATCAAGTATGATATAATGTCATATAGTAGATTGTCTACAAGTTAATGTTTGAACAACTAAATATTTGATATATATATATATATATATATATATATATATATATAAACATTATCTGACCCATGTCGTATTATCATTATTGAATTGTACAGCAGTCCTCCAGGCTGCGCAGGAAAACCGACTTCGTTTCGTTTTCAACCCGTAGTTGTAGGCATACGATAACCAACCAATATTGAGGTAAGTACAACGTTTACAAGGGATAGTAAGCTGTTTTAGAAAAGTAAAGGTGCTAAAGTGAATCATTAAAGTGTAATGAAATAGGTAAATGCAATGTATCATCAATATATGCATTCATAAAGGAAATACAATGGGAGACTATAATCCCTAGGCTGACAAAGTTCATTTGCAATGTATAATGCTACCCTATATAGGTCTTACTATCATGATGTCCACTTTTGGTTTTAATACAATTATCCACAAGCCGGTTTTAATTTCATACCTTTTTGTGTATTTGGTGCACAACCGCACCCTATAGAGAATAGGAATTCAAGAAGGGAGACAAGTCCTCATGCGATAATCATAGAGGAATCAGCCTAACGAACATAGTCTCTAAAATCCTAGGCTCAGTAATCATGAACAGAATAAGCCGAACTCGGGAGGAACAAACGAGGGAAAATCAAGCGGGCTTTAGGCCAGGTAGAGGGTGCATAGATCATATCTTCACTCTCCGACAACTCCTAGAACATAGACACACTTTTAGGCGTCCAACAATTGCCATATTTCTTGACTTGAAGGCGGCCTTCGACTCCGTGGATCGAGAGGTACTATGGCAATGTTTGACTATTAAGGGAGTGCCAAGAAAGTACATTGCACTAATCAAGGCACTCTACTCAAACTCACGTAGCTGTGTAAGGGCTTATGGGGAATTGTCATCTGAATTGATAACAACCAGTGGTGTCCGTCAAGGATGTCCACTTTCCTTTTTTCTGTTTAACTTCATAGATATGCTAATGAAAGTATCCTTAACTGAACTTAACGACTTAGGAATCGACTTGTTACCAGGGAATAGTCTTATAGACTTAGAATATGCAGACGACATAGTCCTGTTAGGGGAGGACGCTGACAAAATGCAGAGTCTTCTGAACACCTTGAGCAGCAATCTTCGTATGTTTGGCATGCGATTCGCCCCTGTGAAATGTAAGATGCTGCTACAGGACTGGACTACGTCAACTCCTAGCTTAGTGATAGGGAGTGAAGTGATAGAACATGTTGACCACTTCACCTATTTAGGAAGTTGTATCAGCACCAACGGATTGATTGGTGACGAAATCACAGCACGGATCCAGAAAGCTCGGGCTGCTTTCGCTAACTTACACCGTCTCTGGCGTAGGCGTGACATCCGGCTGTCAACCAAGGGACGTGTATACTGCTCATCAGTTCGCTCCGTCCTTCTCTATGGCGGTGAGACGTGGCCATTGAGAGCGGAAGACATGAAGAGATTGTCTGTTTTTGACCACAGATGTTTACGATCTCTTTCCCGCGTTAGGTGGTATAATAAGGTAAGTAATGTTGACGTTAGGCGTAGAGTGTTGGGCAAAGAGGGAAAATCACTCGAAGAGGCTATGAAGTTACATAGATTGAGATGGCTAGATCACGTGCTGCGCATGCCTAACCATCGTCTCCCCCGACGGGCATTACTAGCTGATATAGGTGCAGGTTGGTTGGAAAAGAGTAAGTGGTGGCCAAACAAAAACTTGGCATCAATCCATGAAATCCCTGACAGTTAAACTGAGTCAGGTAGGGAGATGCAGACTTCCGGGTTGGGGCCCTCGGGACTCTAAGAATCACTAGCTGGAGACAGACAATAGGTGACATGGCTCAAAATCGTTGTCAATGGCTTACTCAGATGTATTCAGTCTCTGTAGTCTTTCATATTCCTTTCATTACTCATTCTGTTTCACTCTAATACTTATCTAAATTCTATTGATTCTCTTCACTCATTTTCTTGTCTACCTTTGTGTGCTATTTGGAACGTGGCAACTCGAACTGCTGCACTTCGGTGCCAAGTTCTATGTTGAATCCAGCAGCAGCAGCAGCAAGTCGAATCAAATGTTAGGTTTAGTGGAATATAATGAGCAAGTGAAGACGTTATTAGAAAATGTATGAGATGAGACATTGTTAAGTGATATTCGAAGATCGGACAAAGGAAAGCATGTTAATTTATAAGATGCCCCATAAATCTGCGCAGAGCCCACGTGGTCGCATCTCAGCAATAGGCTGACTGAATGGTATATGTTTAAAGGTAGAAGCATGATCTGTCTAGGCGATCATTATTACCTTTTTCAAGATAAGGATTCAAGCCCTCATAGAAATCTCGAGCCGTCAAATTGCATATTGCTGTTCCTTCAGAATGGGGCGATTCACCTTAGTGTCCACCACCATAACTACTGATCAGCATGCGCCACCCTCCCTCCTTTTATGATGTTAGGCTCTGATTGTTACGGCTACAGCACATATATTGCTTGATTCCAGACACGTTCGTACCTCACATTCCATTTCCCTAGCTTTCTTAGTGAGTGCTTCCAATAGATCTCCACATACAGATTTATGAACATATTATATATGTGTGCATGCTTCCTAATGAACAGATTAGTTTATAAGATGTTAAACCCTTAAAGAGTAAAAAGAATAGGTTTTGTGAATAGTGGAGCAAGATTCATCAGAACACTATAGTTAGAGTTCAATGTAGGTAGTATGAACTGAAGGTAAGGTCGGTTGGCAGGACTTATTGTACTAAATTATCATGAAAGTCTTTTATATAGTAAACATTTGACATTGCAAAGTAACCAGTCTACACATATTATAAAACGATATTAACACAGAACCAACAGAATTTTAACATTTGGTTAACAATACTGCAGTGTGTGTGTGTACTGAAGAAGCGTAGTTAGTCTTACAGGGAGCCGTAAAGTAAATCAAACTATATATGATAAGAGTGTAATCAATATTATAATTCGTATCATCAAAGAATACATTAAGCTCAATAATTGAGTGTTATAAGGGAAACAAGCGTGGTAAAGCAAGAGAACATTTGCTGCATAAATTTTTTAAGTATTGTAATAACAATCAAATGTCAAGAATTGATTATGCATAATTACTAAGTATTATTATATTAGTATTGGGACTAGTGTGCTTTCCGTAGTTAAATATTGAAATGACATTGTCTCCCCACTCTACCAGCAGTTGTGATCTTTTAGACGGGTTAGGGTGGACATGTTAAAATGTTTTTCTAGGCTCCTTTTAAAACTGTCAGCCTTTTCACAGGATCTAATCTCAGAGGGTAGCTGGTTCCAAAGTTTGCAATATTTAATGGTGAAAAAGTTAGCTCTAGTGGTGAGTTTATGGGTGTTAACCTTGAGAAGGTAGTCATGGTTGCGTAGTTCATACGATTTAAGATTAGCCCACGTTATGGATGAGTTACTGTTACAGTGCTTTCTTATAACTTTGAATAAGAGAAATAAGTTGCACTTCACTCTCCTTAACCATAAGGGTTCTAAGTCCAGTCGAATACATCTGTCAAGGTATTCTATTTGCTGATCATAGCCTAATATGCGTTTCGTCAGGAATCTTTGGACACTTTCAACTTTTTTCCTGTCTGCTGATTTAAAGCTACTGTATAAGTGGGCACAGTATTCAAGTTTTAGGCGAATACATATCTTATATATAGCCAATCTGGCTTCTGGAGTGTAAAAGTTGCGTAGCACAAAGCCGGTGAGACGTTTACAATCAGATGCCACCTTATTTGCATGTTCAGTGAAGGTAAGATCTGAGTATGTTACACCGAGATCTGTGACGGTGTTCGTGTTTGAAACAAGGTCACCGTACATGTATAGACATATGCTAGGTTTCCAACGTCCGAAGTATGTTCTCCCAGACTTAGCTGGATTAAACGTTAACTGCCACTTTTCACTCCAGTTACATAGACTATTTAGGTCTTGTTGGATTTTACTAGCAATATTTATATCATTATAGTCGAAATCATATACAACTTTGAGGTCATCTGCAAAGAGGTAGGGCTTGCCATACTTGATCACAGAGACAATATCATTTATGAATACAATGAATAGGGTAGGACCAAGAACGCTACCTTGTATCACGCCGCTGGTTATTGGTTTGGATGTAGATAAGTGATGGTTGATTTGAACCAACTGTTCTCTTCCTGTTAGAAAGGAAGTTATCCACTCGAGTAGTAGCCTTCCACTTATTCCATAAGATAGGAGTTTCAATATGAGTCTCTTATGTGGGACCTTATCAAAAGCTTTCCAAACATCTAGAAATAGTGTTGCTGCCGAACGACCTTTGTCTACACATTCAGTTATGTGGTCGAAATAATCTAACTGGCAAGTGATGCACGATCTTCTAGTTAAGAAACCGTATTGGAAAAGGGATATTAGGTCATTCGGAAGCAAAAGCTGAAGAATTTGCTTCTTTACAATCTTTTCCATCATACGTGAAACCACGGAGGTGATGTTGATGGGGCGGTAGTTATCTATGTCCGCTGTAGGTCCGGTTTTGTGAATGGGTACAACGTAAGATTTCTTCCAGCTAATTGGATATGTTCCACCCCTCAGCGAAGTTGAAAATAACTTGAGGAGAAGTAGGTTCATGTCATTTCCACCATTTTTTAAGAGGACGGAAGACATTCCATCTGGGCCGGGGGTATTAGTAAGCTTAAGAGTTGCGACAGCTTTATCGATTTCTTGGGCGTTGAAGACTACATCGCTTAAACACTTTTCTGTTTTACGAGGGAAATCAATATCCTGGTCATTTTCTAGAATGTATAGTTTCTACTTCATTTCACGTGTTTTTGTGTATAGTCACTGAAAAATTTTCTCAAAGATTT